GCATCCTCCTCATGGGCCTGCGGCGTAGCGGCAAGTCGTCCATTCAGAAGGTGAGCGCGGCCTACCGCTTCGTCCTTCTCTCAACGAGGAGTCGTTTTTAACGTTTCCTCTACCCCAGCCGTCCGCTTGTGGGTGGTCTCGCGTGAGCCATGCTTTCCTTCACCCATTCACACGCGTGTAGGGCTGGAGGCGAGAGCATCGAGTCCAGCTGCCTGCCCTGGTCTCCGCGTCGGGTTGGTGTCGGCTTCCAGTCCAAACCTCTATGAAATCTCCTGTCCGTGAAAGCCCCCGTCACCCCTGCGTGCCGTCAACTCTTTCCCACGTTCTTGGGAGACTCCTTGTATTAGTCGGTGTTAGGAGTCATCAGTTAACCCCGTGGTTTGTGTTCCCTTTTTCGCCTGTCCCTTGTTCTTTATTAATGGCTTATTAATGGTTCTTAAAATCAGCATTGTAGCTGCTGGGATTTCCTGAACACCTAGAGCGAGGAGGAACAGAAAGTAGAACAAAGTGACTCCAGCATGTAGGTTTGTCGCAGCTGGCATGATGCGTTGTAGCCGGGGGGATTTCCCCATGGTTTGGCTGTCTAGCGCAAATACAGTTCTTTCTATTTCTCGTCTTGCTTCTGTGGCGTTCTGCCACGTAGAAATCGCCGTGCTGTGCTGTACCAGTGACTCTCAAGCACCTGTGTTCGCCAGCAGTCAAACCGATACCAAATGCAAGGCGTGTGTTTGCTTGGCAGCTGTTCTGTAATCTGAAAGCTTTATTTTTTTAAGCTGCACTAGTAAGACATTGACTCTTCCCCTGAAGCAGGAAACCCGGTGGACCCACTTGGAAGGAACCTCCTTACTTGACTTTCGTTGGTAGTGACTGACACTTGTCCAACGAGGAAAGGATTTTCAGTGGCATCTCATCCCCTCCCAGAACATCAGGTTCAGCAAAACTTCTGTAACATGGGAAGAGTTGAGATGCATGCCTGTGCTTCTGTGACATTGCCTAATTGAAGCGATGTCCCAGTCTGCTAGCGCAACACAGCATAGAGAGATGCAATTTTTTTTTTAAGGGACCCACTTTCTTTCCTTTGATCCCTGCTAGGTGGATCAGGGAGGGCCAGATCATCTCTTCTGTTTTCACAGATCCCTCCACCTTTGAATCAAGCTGCACCAAAACCCAGGCTCCTACTTTAGGTAGTTACCAAGCATCCTTTTAAAGACCCCTAACGGGTCATATGAGCTTAACATAGTGGGGGTCATATGACCCC